TGTTTCTGTCTGAGTCCTCTAAAGAAATTAAATCATATCCTTATGAAAACACATATAGAGGGAATCCATTCTGTCAAATCAGAAAAGATAATTTAAACATCGTTAATGATCTACATACTGAATACCTCCTACTTTAACTTTGAAAGGGGACCGCTTATGCTCTGAGAAGGTTGCAAGTACTTTGTTCAATGGCGGTTCTAGACAAAAATGTACCAGGGGGCCAGGAGGGGGCCCGCGTGTGTCCATGGGGGCCCAGAAAAGCATGAAATAAAAAATGGGGTCTACAGGGCTTATACAGGAATGAGGAATGAGTAACTCTTATTTAATATTCTTAATAGCATCAACAATTACCCATTACTTTCATATATATATATATATATATATATATATATATATATATATATATATATATATATATTCTCTAGCCTCTTCTCTGCCTTAAGCTTCTTTTCCGATGATGATTTTTAATGTTTTTAATGACCCGCGGAAACCCTGCAAGAGATTCAAATATATTAACCTGCAGGAAGAAAAATTTATATTCAATTAGGTTTAATAAAAATTTGATGTTATAAGGTCATTCATAATTACAGTTTTCTATCAAATCTGAATTAGAACTCAAGAAAAGCTAATAAATTCAGCTGTAAAAATTAGTATATATTTTTTTTTTTTACATTAGGGGCCATAATAGGGGCCAGGACATGATCTGCAGGGGCACTGGCCCCCGTTGACCCCTGTCTAGAACCGCCCGTGATTTTGTTCGACCCCACAGCCTGCACTCTGGGTTCCTGAGCAAAACCCTTACCCCCACACTGCTTCCTAGGCGCCACTCAATGGCAGCCCACTGCTCCCCAAGGGGATGGGTTAAATATAGAGTAAATTTCCCTATTGTGGGACAATAAAGGGATTTACAAAAACTGGAAATAGCCCTTTGTTTTGTCTATTTAAAAAAAAACCTTCCTGTGTTTGTGAATGTCTTCAACAGGTCGATTGATGCACCTGTATGCCATATGTGTGGATTGTCTGGAGGGCGTCCACAAGATCGTCTGCATCAAGTGCAAGTCGCGGTGGGACGGGAGCTGGCACCAGCTGGGAACCATGTACACCTACGATATACTGGCTGCTTCGCCCTGCTGCCAGGTGGGTAAACTGACCGCAGTGACATACAGGAGAATATTACTTAATATAGAAAATAAATATGAGATTAGACTTAGTATTATAACTGTTATAGACCTAATTAAAAATATTAATCCTGTCGATTAGTAATTTAATGGTTGCATAGACGAGGAAAAACTTATTAGAGCAGCATTTAATGCTAAGCTTTTAGATGAGTCTGGTCTCATGGGTTGATCCAGAAACATGGGTCAGTAAATATGGTTTTTATAAGAACTGGTGGATTCATAGTTATACATTTGAATAGCAAACTCTGGTAAAACATGAGGGGGGAGGGTTTGTTTATACACTATATTGCCAAAAGTATTTGCTCACCCATCCAAATTATTGGAATCAGGTGTTCCAATCACTTCCATGGCCACAGGTGTATAAATTCAAGCACCTAGGCATGCAGACTGTTTTTACAAACATTTGTGAAAGAATGGGTCGCTCTCAGGAGCTCAGTGAATTCCAGCGTGGAACTGTGATAGGATGCCACCTGTGCAACAAATCCAGTCGTGAAATTTCCTCGCTCCTAAATATTCCACAGTCAACTGTCAGCTGTATTATAAGAAAATGGAAGTGTTTGGGAACGACAGCAACTCAGCCACGAAGTGGTAGGCCACGTAAACTGACGGAGCGGGGTCAGCGGATGCTGACGCGCATAGTGCGAAGAGGTCGCCAACTTTCTGCAGAGTCAATCACTACAGACCTCCAAACTTCATGTGGCCTTCAGATTAGCTCAAGAACAGTGCGCAGAGAGCTTCATGGAATGGGTTTCCATGGTCGAGCAGCTGCATCCAAGCCATACATCACCAAGTGCAATGCAAAGCGTCGGATGCGGTGGTGTAAAGCACGCCGCCACTGGACTCTAGAGCAGTGGAGACGCGTTCTCTGGAGTGACGAATCGCGCTTCTCCATCTGGCAATCTGATGGACGGGTCTGGGTTTGGCGGTTGCCAGGAGAACGGTACTTGTCTGACTGCATTGTGCCAAGTGTAAAGTTTGGTGGAGGGGGGATTATGGTGTGGGGTTGTTTTTCAGGAGCTGGGCTTGGCCCCTTAGTTCCAGTGAAAGGAACTCTGAATGCTTCAGCATACCAAGACATTTTGGACAATTCCATGCTCCCAACTTTGTGGGAACAGTTTGGAGCTGGCCCCTTCCTCTTCCAACATGACTGTGCACCAGTGCACAAAGCAAGGTCCATAAAGACATGGATGACAGAGTCTGGTGTGGATGAACTTGACTGGCCTGCACAGAGTCCTGACCTCAACCCGATAGAACACCTTTGGGATGAATTAGAGCGGAGACTGAGAGCCAGGCCTTCTCGTCCAACATCAGTGTGCGACCTCACAAATGCGCTTCTGGAAGAATGGTCCAAAATTCCCATAAACACACTCCTAAACCTTGTGGACAGCCTTCCCAGAAGAGTTGAAGCTGTTCTAGCTGCAAAGGGTGGACCGACGTCATATTGAACCCTATGGATTAGGAACGGGATGTCACTTAAGCTCATATGTGAGTCAAGGCAGGTGAGCAAATACTTTTGGCAATATAGTGTATATCACAGACTGTCATCTCAACCTCAAATCCAGGTTTACAATAAAGTTTGTCTATGACCATCTGGATGAACCAGGAGAAGGTCATGAGGTCAGATGAGACCAAAACACAACTTCTTGGGATGAACTCCAGTATTTTGTTTGGAGAAAAAAAAAAGGAAGAATAAAATCCCATCTGTGAAGCATGTGGGTGTTTCTGCAAAGATACAAGAAACAGCACTAGTTCAGGTCGTTTTTAGTTAATTATTTTTAATGTTGCTCTTTCATAAAGATTGTTTTTATTTATTATTATTCCAAAAGAGATTAATTTAGATAGATGTGGGGCCGAAACTAATGATAATTTTGTGACCATCATTTTTTTTTTATCAATAGTAGGCTAGTCAAAAGTTCCTTAAAGAAGATTTTTTACTAAGTGAAACTAAAACTTTACCTCTTAAGTTCTGGATAGAGCATATTGACTGAAGGAAAACTTTTATTTTTTTTTAATCCTATTTATACAGTTTTGGTATCATTTCTGTTGCTCTGTCAGCTAAAGACATCTTTTAGAGTCTCAACACTTGAGTTAACGATTAATCGATTACTAAATTAGGTAAAAATTATTTCAGTAATCGATTAATTCGATTGTTTCAGCCCTAGATAACAAATAACTTAAAAAAAAAAAAGGCTTTATTATTGATCCAGCTCTAATATTGTTAGTAATGATTTGTTATGGCATTAAAGGGGAACGTTTTTTTTTACATTGGCCCCTTGAATTGACGTTATTACATCATGTTCTACTCACCCATATTAGTTTTGTGTCATTTGGAGCTATTCTGAAGATATTCCATTAGGTTATATTCAAGTAACGTCTTCCTATGGGCAAATCAATTGAAGGCACAATCTAAATTGTTATAATTTATTCTTTATGGTACGCCAGCATTCATAACATGTAGGAGAATCACTGTCCCCCAGACATCCACGGTTATGTTTTTTACATTTAGATTTTTTTTAAAACAAAGCGGAGTGTGTATGACATCATTTGCGCGCCGGACTGGAGTTGTGACAGGCAGCCCGGGCCACAGGCGGCTACGCTCTACCCCTTCTATTCATTCGGCGAGCTAATCTGAATCGTTCAATTCCATTTCGAGAGCGAGATCATCAGTGGTAGTAGCACTAGACATCTTCCAGGCATGTGAGTAAAACTAGCAGCAGTTCAGCGGACAGGATGAATGAACGGTAGCCGGCGTGCGCGGATGACGGCATACATGCGCCGCTTTGTTTTAAAAAATATAAAAATTATTACCGCGGATGTCTGGAGGACAGTGATTCGCCTACATGTTATGAATGCTGGGGTACCATCAATAATAAATTATAAACAGTTTGGATTGTGCCTTCAAGTCGTTGCTCATAGGAAGACGTTACTTGGATATAACCTAACGGAATATCTTTAGAACAGCTGCAAATGACACAAAACTAATATGGGTGAGTAGAACATAATCTAATAACGTAAAATCAAGGGGCCAATGTAAAAAAAAAATGGCGTTCCCCTTTAATAGCTTTGGGGAGTGGCGGCCTAGTGGTTAGGTCATAGAGCTTGGAATCCTGAGGTTCTGAATTCGAGCCCCACTCCCACAGACCGCCACACTGGGTCTCCAAGCAAGATCCTTAACCCCACACTCATGCCCGGACCCCCCACTATGGCAGCCCACTGCTCCCTAAGGGGAAGGGTTAAATCAGAGGTAAATTTCTCCAATGAGAGATCAATAAAGTTCAATTATTTATTATAACAGTTGTGATGGTCATGATAAAAAACGTGTCATTAGTTTCTTATTGTAACTAGCAGTTAATAATTATAAAAGGTGGTATTATTTTGCTGAACAGTGTGTGAACTTCCTGTTTGTTCTCAGGCTCGGCTCAACTGTAAGCACTGCGGGAAGCCGGTGGTGGACGTCCGAGTCGGGATGCAGTATTTCTCAGAGTACAGCAACGTCCAGCAGTGCCCTCACTGCGGCAACCTGGACTATCACTTCGTTAAACCCTTTTCCTCCTACAAAGTCCTCGAGGCTTATTGACAAATGTTTCAACACGCGCTAGTTCGGCTGCTTTTTTTTGTCATTTGTTTTCTAACACAATCTAGGAAAGATCTCTAATTTTTTTGGGGGGCCTTAAGGTGGTTTTATGTTTTAAAATTCTCTCCTCCTTTGAATGCGTAGGGAAAATGTGACAGAAGGACGAGTTAAAGAACTGTTAGGAGAGGCGATAAAATGTGGAGCTGACGTTTTCAGTCAAGTGAACACATTTATCTGAGACACGTGAATGTATCTGTATGCCAAAATTTGCTTTTATTTTTTACCAAAACTGATCTTAAAATAAAGAGAGATTCACACTGATGATGCCGTTTGCATTTTCTTCACATCCCAAACATTCATTATTTTTATTTCCACAGTTTGGCAAACCTAATACAAAACAGACTAAAAACTAAACTGGATCCATGTGTATGATTTCTCCCTGACCCAACCAGCCAAATGTTCCCACCCAGGGCTGCTTCTAACAATAAAGGTGACCCTTGTCTGTCCTGAAGTGTTAAAAGCTTCAACTTGAAGCTCCATGAATCTGATTTTGCAGAATCCTTGCACACTAAAGCTCTCTCAACCCTTTCATAACATGTAATTATTCTGCAGGAGGGTCAAAGATGCTGCTTGCATGTCTCTGGTCTTTGTCAAATCTTAAAGAAGTTAGTTTAGGTCCTGTGAAACAAATGTTTTTAGGTTGTTTTGAGTCCATTTTTTAGATTTTTAGCTACCTTTGTGGTTCATTTTGTATGTTAATCTTATTGTGAGGTGATTTCCATGGTTACTGTCCCTTTTACTTGCATGAGTCTGTAGCAGCTGAATGGGATCTTTTTATGTTTGTCTTCTCAGTAGCTTCTTTTCGTTTCGTCCTAAGTTTAAATGCAGTAGGTTTGACATCCCAGCTAAAACAGTTGCTAAAGATGACCCTAAACTCTCGGAGTCCGACAGAAGCACCGGGCTGTAACATCCAGGCACCGAATTGTTCGTGTGAAAGCGCTTCTCGCATTACTGCTGTACCAACTCCTCTGGTGTGTCGCTAACAGGAGGCGCTTTGCTCTGAGTGCCTGCAGGCTGCGTCTCCTCAGTTTTGTTCTTTGCTTTCAGCGCCAGCTCCTTTGCGGAAGGCGGTCGGAGGACGCACATGGCCACCTGACCCTCTCTTGTAACTTTAGGCTTAGAGACGTAGCCCACCATCAAGTTAATTTGCTCCACCATTTGTTCCAGAGTGGTGTCCTGCAGAGAGAGAAACCAGTCTTCAGTAACCCATCTGGTCCAGTTGTTATAAAGAAGTATTTTACCCTGAATTTCTTCTGTTTTGGTTGCTGTCTCATTTAATTGCCTCAGGTCAGAAAATAAACGATAATTTCAGGAAAATGTAAAAGAAAATGCAAAAATACAGCTTAAAATGGTCAAATATACTAATGGAAAAACCATGAGTGACAAAGTGATTCGATTTGTGAGGAATAACGGCTATAGGGACAATCTGAGTCTGTATAAAAGCACTTTCCCTGGATGAAGGACTCCACCATGATTGGCCAACCAATCAAATTCCTCCAGGAGCTCATCAGAAGCTCATCCAGGAGATCAAAGTAAAGCTGACGTCACAAAAGTCCACAAAAACAAACGAGTGTTGATGTGGCCTAGTTAAAGCCTCAATGGTGACCCTTTAAAACGGGTCATTTAATGTGGGAGAAAAAGCCTCTGTTGTTATGTGGAAGACTGAAGGCTAGATGGCAGCAGTTCACCAGGAATGGAAAACAGTACTTTAGTTGTTCCACACAGGATCAGAATGGTCCAGCGGGCATTTACATATTTAATAAATTCAATTAACAGCATTTTTTATTGAGCCAGCTTCTTTATCTGAAACATTTAAGGGGGAAATATAAAATCTACTGGGATTAAAGGAATAGTACACCCAAAACATGATTAGCCTTCATTTTCTACTCACCCCCATGCTGAACAACACTCTGGAGTACTTTTTTGATATCTCAAATGCATCTGGAGATCTGGGAGGCTTCTTGCTGTCTGCTGACATTCAAATAATGGAGGTCTATGGCGCCCGAGGCAGAAAGGTCCATAAAAGTCCACAAAAAATGTGTCAATATTCCTCCATACTGCTCGTCCAATGTATTCCAAGTGTCCTGAGTGGGTAGCGTCCAGAATTTACTCGAAACGAAGTCATTTAGAATGTTTTTAGAGCATAAACAGTAGTGTATAGGATTTCCTAAAAGCGCGCGCCTGCGAGTTCACGAGTCTATGGAAACCGCGGCAGACCAAACCAGATGAAAGTGCGCATTCAGCGTCTGCTCTGCCGATAATGCAAGCGTAGAAGAAGAAATGTGCTGTTTACCTGTGCAAAGAAAGAAACAACGAAAGAAAAATGTCTGAGGACTTCGGTGTTGAGGAAGAGCATGAGTTCTTTGCCAAGCTGAATGCGCACTTTCATCTGGTTTGGTCTGCCGCGGTTTCCGTAGAGTCGCGAACTCGCAGGCGCGCGCTTTTAGTCTAAATGACTTCGTTTCGAGTAAATTATGGACGCTACCCACTCAGGACACTTGGAATACATTGGACGAGCAGTATGGAGGAATATTGACATGTTTTTTGTGGACCTTTCTGCCTCGGGCGCCATAGACCTCCATTATTTGAATGTCAGCAGACAGCAAGAAGCCTCCCAGATCTCCAGATGCATTTGAGATATCAAAAACGTACTCCAGAGTGTTGTTCAGCATGGGGGTGTGTAGAAAATGAAGGCTAATCATGTTTTGGGTGTACTATTCCTTTAACAATTAAAGAAAACATTTTTTTTTACAAAAAATAGCGTATATAAATAAAATACTAATATTATGCTGATAAAACCAGAAAGTTTCCCACATATCTGCCCATAAATGAAACCCAAACTGGTGAAATTGATCTATAGTAAGTTTAGGGTTCCTTCAGCATAAGGCAAGTTAAATTCAAGACTTTTTAATGCCACTTGAAATAAAAATTTAAGACCGAATTCACAAGAAACACAAGAAAAACCCGCTTGCGACAACTTTACCCAAAGGTTTATTTTAACATAAACCACTGCACTAATGTTTCAAATATTACACTTGCTCAGATTTTCCAGACAAAAAGTTAATGGCGCATCTCCCAAATGTCCCGACTGCAACAACGCTTTTATTGGTTTCGCTATCGTGACGGAACGACATTTTAATACCAATTAAGGCCTTAGTTTTATTTTGAAGAATTCAATGCCTTTTAAGACTTTGTAAGGACCCGCGGGAACCCTGAAGTTTATTAAAGATTCTCACCAGGTTACTGGCCTGTTGTCCATGTCCTGCCCTCAGAGTCAGCCTGACGTGGTGTTTCTTCTCCAGCCAGCTCTCCACCTGCTTCAGTTTAGTGGACAGGTCATGGGAGGCAATGCCAGCTGAAATGCTGAGTTCCTTTACCTGCACAGGAGCTGTGGAGAGAGTGCAGAACAGGTAGTGAAGACTTCCACTGAATCAAACCGTTTCAAGATCCTGAATACCTCCTTCTGTTTTAGTTTTCAGCTTATCTTCTTACACCCTAAGGGGATATAAATAAATTTCTGCCTGACAAAAACACACAAAAGTAAATAACTTATAGCCTCAAAGCTATTAGATTTAAGAAGAAACTTTTGGTACGTCTGTAAAGGTAAGATGTCATAGAATGGTTTTCTGGTGTCAGCACCATTGTAGCTTTGACCCTGCCTGAAATATTAGGGACAAAATACAAAATATTTTGCAATTTTTGAACCTCGCCAAAATTTTCTTTGAAATAAACATTGCAAAACACTACCAAAATATTATTTATAGCACAAAAAAGTAGTACAGACTTTCAAATCTAAATGTTGTGTAAAAATATACAAAATGTGGACTCAATCAGATGAATCATATTTATTTTAGAATGGTATTAGTGAGAAATTTCTTAGGCGGAGAGGCCATTTTGGCACATTTATCCATAAATGTCACCAAACTGTGCCAAATATGTTTTTTACATCAAAACTGGGGGTTTGGTAAAACTACAAGGTCATGTAGCAGCTGGACCCGCCGGTGGGTCCGTAGGGTTCAAGGGGTTAATATGCCTTTAAATATTCTCACCTCAGTCAAAAATCTCACCTGTACTGCAAACATTATAAACAGTCAGGAAGCAAAAACTGATGGAATCAGGATGAGGTGGACTCATGCTTCATTTGATTTATATATTAACTTTCTAACAAATAAATGCTGCAAAATATGCATGAACCTTTTTGCGTTAAAGTGCCTACCATTTACTAAATACCTTGTTGGAGCAGCTTTGGATTCAATGCAAACCTTTGGTTCTCCTTGTAAGGGCTCCAAGCTTTACCTTTCTACATCTGTTGTCTATAGGTGACCCTACAGATTAATTCTGCATTCCAGCCCCAAACTGTCATTTCTTTCACTGAAGTGGTTCTTTGGTTTATTTGGATGCATGTTTGGACTTAACGAGATGATAAAAAGAACATCTTTCTTTATTTTTTATCTGCCAAGGAGAGACCTTAAAGTTTGGGGCTCAAACTGCAGCATTTGGATCAACATTGAAAAAGATCCTCAAACCATAAGAAACATAACAGACCATGATGCTGCCACCGCCATGCTACAATGTGAGCCTGGTGATCTTTTGATGTGTTCTGAGTTGTTTTGTGTCAAACAAACTGAATGCTTAAGTTTGATTCTCAATACAATTCAGAAATACTTTAATAATCCCAAAGGGAATTAAAAAACAATATGATTCATTATTCCTTTTTTATTCTTCCATAATGGTTTTATTTTAGCTGGGCCCGAATGTCTCCTTTGAAAGAAAAACCTGCCTTGCAGCTTCATCATTCTATGCAGAGAAAACTGGAGATTCTCAACCCTTTTAAACTAAAACCAGTCATTTCCTTCATTTCCTGATTTCCTCAGTTTTGGAAAAAGCCCCTGGTTTTGCTAAAGTTTCTGTTGTTATAATTTTTTTTCAAAGATGCTAAACTTACTTTATCAGTAATGCTGTCAAAATGTGTTTGTGCTCATCTCCTGACTAAAGCCTCTGCATAAAAGGAAGTAACCTGATCCTCTGCAGGCTATATTAACATGGAAATATCAGGGGAAATCCTACAAGGACAACTGAGTTTTATTTCCACTTAATCTGAATTATGCAGGCTGCAAAATAAAGACGTCTAAAAAAAGTGTATTTCAACAAAGTTGGTGTTTCATTGATTAAACCTAATAGATTTTTTTGGATTTTGTTAAAACCTTTTATCATGGTGACATTTTCGCCGAAAACTTGGTGTTTTAACAGCCTAGCTGTCGTCTTCTGGATGCTTCAGCCTTTTCTGGAAAGACTCGATAATTTAGAATAACTTTTAAAATTGATACCTGCTTTGGTCTTGTTTTTCTCTCGAAGTCTAAGCTGCTCCTCATGGATCTGTTTCCCGCTCATCAGCCGGTAAACCGGAGGCTCTTTGTTTCCTCTCAGCAGCACCAGCTTCAGATCTTTCTCATCCATGATTCTGATCACATCGGCCCGATGCATCACCCCCAGATTCTCACCTGTCTCACTGATCACCTGTACCTCTCTGTGGGGAATCTTCCGGCCGACGCTGCTTATAGAGGTGTGGGCGCGTGGATCCTGCTTCTTTTTGTTTGCTGCAGGAGCCTGTTCTTCAGGAACGTCTGTGGAGAACGCAGATCGTCTCCAGGAGGAAGCGATGATGCTGTGTGTTTCACAGAGTCCGGCTGATTTTAGAGTCGGTGTCCAGTAGCCTGGCCTGCCGCTGCACACAGATCGCATTGTGTGGCTCAGAAGCCACCTCATACAACCAGCAGACATTTCCTGCACAGAAACAGAAGATGTGAGCATTTAAATTTACAGAAAGAGAAATTTAGAAACGTAATGTAACAGCAGAGAGTTAAAATTTTATACAATTTTCTTTTTTCCAGTGTCACAAAAAAGCTGCATGAGGACAACGGGTCTCAGCAGATAAATTTTTTTCTAAACCACCAGTAGCCATTTTAACTTAATTACAACATGACAAAGTCAATAAAGAAAAGCAAAACAATCTGCAAGATTGGTTAATGGTTCAAATATAACAAAAAGGAAGAACTATGATGAACAGGAGTGTTTCACTCAAAAACATCAAGTGCAAACAAAAAACCTAAACTATGAGAAAACAAATCAATATCTGACCCTTTTACTCCATATTCTGTAATAATAATGGTTTAATTGTTGTTATAAACACTTGCTAAATTTAAAAGAACCCAGGAGTTTGAGATTCAGCTGTGGTAAAGAAAAGGATGCTGCTGCTGGGGCTGTGAACTTAAGGCAGATTTCTACATAAATCACGTCTTAAAGCTACAGTGTGTAATTTTCAGCGACATCTAACGTCCAGACTGCAGACCGCAGCAACATGAACATCTCCCCCCCACCGCTTCTCCCCCCCAACAGTACGGCGAGCGTTACGGGACAAAATGTCTTCCACGATGTCGCATCACCTACCTTCTCATGTGATGAGGTTTGTTTACATAAATAATTTTACAGATAGTATTCTCAGGCATAATACTGCCATCTATTGTTCAGTACCGTCTCAGTTCATCTCTCTAAACTTGCCGTAGTTACTTTCGAGCGTAATGGCCGATCTCGCAATCGCTAGTTTGTTGGCTCTGCGCTGCCGTAGCGCAAAGATGTCTGCCTCCATGGCTGTGAGACCCGCTCCTATGTAATTATAAATAACGAATTCTAAGGCAACGCAAATATTAAGGTTAAGAGGCTGAGCTCGTAGATGATGATAAATAACATAGTTATGTATAATATATTACATTTCTGACTGTATATCCCTGTAATTATTACACACTGTAGCTTTAAACTGAGACAAAACCACATAAAAAAAGTGATTCCTCTTTCTTGAAGCCAGATTTTCCTGTGACTTTTTTTATATATGTCTTAATCTGTAGATTTTTACTTCTTGGACAAGATGATAAACATTTTAGTAGTGTGTTGCCTTTGGTCTTATTTTCAGTCTTCCTTTTGCAATTAAGATTGCAAAACTTGTTGAGAGCTTTCTTTCCTAAAAGAATAGAATAAAAAATGTCTTTATTGTCCCCCAATGGGAAAATCTGGTGTTAGCAGCAAAAAGATTATAGAAAATAACCTTTGAAGAGTGTATAAAAATAACATAATAGTGAAGAGTAAAAAAAAAAAAAAAAAAAAGACCTCAAACAATGATGATCTTTTGGAGTAAAAGATAAATCAAAATTAAGTGGAAAAAGAAAGGACCAAGGGAAATATTAAAAAAATGCTGGAGAACTGGTGATAAAAAACTATTGCCATAGAAGCAAACAATAAAAATGTATAATTACCACACTTGTACACTATACTTAAAGGATGATTGAGATCATTTAAGTCCAAACATGCCTGATAGTTGTAGTTTGGATAGGCTGTTAATTAGAATAAACAGCCTGTTTGTGATTTTATGCATAAAACCCCAGTTGATTTTTTAATGTTTAAAATTTGGGTATGCCATTTTCAGTAACTGTGTTGTTTTTTCTTTTCTTGTAAATTTGCCCTTTCTGTTCAGTCTCCTAATATTTTTTGTCTTTTATCATGATATGATTCTGTTTGGTTGCAATTTCCTTTCACTTTTCTATTGGTACACATAAAGAGGAGGGATTTATATGTTATTCCATACAACCTGACTTACAGAAAAACATTATGCAAGGTATAGAAGGCAAAACTTGACAATTCAACACCTGGTCAAGCAAATTCAAAGGCAAAATAGACCAAATAAAAAAGCTTGTTATATATTAAATTAATCCCTGAGAGATATTTTCTCATAATAAATAAAATTCTAAAACATATTTAATTTGAATCACTTTTTTTATCGTTATTTTTATTATTTCTTTTTTTTTTTTTAGAACAAAGGTATATCTGAAGGTTTACTTTGAAAGGATCTTTTAAAGTAAATCGCTTCATTAATAAAACTTGGATTCTTTTTAAGCTTATGTAGAAACTTTCCAAGAACCATAAATTTTACTATTTCCAGTGTTTGAGAACCATTAGTTATAATTCTGCAAACCCAACAGAAACATATAACTTGTTATTGAAAATTTTAATTTAACTTGAAACGCATTTACTGAATCTAAACTGTTTGATTTCAATCTGCAATCAGAAGAAAAGTGACACATTTAGTCAACAATTTGTCCTCGAACACATGACATGCTGCAAAATCCAAACCAACCAGGAAACATGATTACACAAGAATGAGGGGAAGAAGGTAAAAACTGTTTAGATTCAGTCTAATCATGATTAAGTATAATTCATTCGTTTGGTTTATACAGCTACACATTTTTACCTCACTGTGGATTGTTTTTCAGTCCTCTGCGAGCAGCTGCAGGGTGACTGATTCTACTTCCGCCCTTCTTCTTCTTCTTGTGAGGTATTATGGCGGTTGGCAAACCAGTGAGAAGTGCAATATCGCCACCAACTGATATGGAGTAAAGCAAGGAAACAGGAAACGACTCACCCCAAAACCAAAAATTAAAAAAAAAAACGGTTTAACTTAACCCAACATAATAAATACTTAATAACATTTGCCCTCATAATTTTCATTTATCTTTAATTAGTTGTCACTCTGCCAGTTTCTGATGGTCTTATTGGTTTTCCCATCATGTTTTCAACCATTTCCTAGTTTAAATCTTTAACTTCTAGATATTTTTCTGCAGCTTTCACTATTAATTTGATTAATTAATAAAAAAAATTCTCGTCTGTGCAGTACAATTGATCACATTAACCATGAAAAGAACAAAACCTTTCTTTTTAACAATCACTGAATCCTCTTTAATTTTGGGACATTTCTCCAGAGGTTTTGAATTTGCCATGTGCTAAACTGTAGGTTTGGGTTTTTCTAACTGAGATGGGCTCCTTTCTGCAGCTTCAGCGTAAGTTATTCCGCTCAAATTTCAATTTTTTTATTTCCTCAGAACTTTTGCTTACTTCACAGCTATTTCCGCCCTTCGCTACTTCACCGGAATATGAGTTAGAAGACTCTCTGCTGCCCCCGTCTGGACAGTTCAGCACCGGGTAACCGAATCCCCCCCCCCCCCCCCCCCCTTTTTTTTCTTCTTCTTCGTCTTCTTCTGCTTCTTCTTCTTCTTGAAATTTTTATGGCGGTTGGCAAAAACGTTAGGTGAGCATTACCGCCAACAACTGGTGTGTGGACCATTCTCTATTTAAGCAGATATTTTAACCTTAAAATTGTCTATCTGGTTGAAAAAAGGTTAGAAAAATATATATATTTTTAAAATACGTGAGTGCATGTACTTCCCATTTCAGACGCTTCCCTGTTTTAGAGCATCTGAATTTAATGAATGGGTCTGTGCAGTATTTTTCAGATAGAGACACGGAAGAGTGGAAAGGCAAAAATGATTCAGTATTAAATGGACTGCATTTTATTTTTCAGATTTCTAAGCAACTGTCCATGACTAATTTTATTCATATATTCGAGTGGGAAAAACAGTAAGATACATTTAGAGCACTTTTCCATTAGATTTATTCAGATTTAACACAAAAAACCTTTATAGAGGCTAAAAATCAACATTGATGCTTTAAAATTAAAACAAATTTAGGAAGAAAAGTTTTTTTTATTATTAGATTAAATTAGATTAGATTCAACTTTATTGTCATTACACAGGTACGAAAAGCAGTTTAGGTCTAACCAGAAGTGCAATAGCAGCAAGTGCAGGATAAATAATGGTTCTATAAATACAGGACATTGGTTTCTACTGAATAAGTATAGAAATAAATACCATTATAAACAGAATCTTACTAATAGATAAATATAATATACATAACTAGTGTTATGAACTAAATTTACAGCTGGATATGTACTGAATATAATATACAGGTGGATATTACTATAAAAAGGGTTTTTACAGTTATGTACAATAGCATATATACAGATGGGTTTTAGTATAAAATTAATAAATAAAGTTTGGTAGTGGAAGGTAATTGCATATTACAGTTAAAGTACGTTATTGCAAATATATACGTAAACCATTCGCACTGTGAATAAACAGTCGGCAGTGCAAATATAAACAGTTGGCAGTGCAAATCAATATTCAGTCAAGGTGAGAAGTGCAAGATGCATGTAAACAGTTGCTACAATAGTAACAGTCAGGAATGCAGGTGAACATTACAGTCTTGTAAAAAAAAGAATAGCAAAATGGTGGTAGGTGTGAGGAAGGAGAGTAGAGTCTATCCGTGAGGGTTAGAGTTCAGTAAACAGACAGCTCTGGGGAAAAAGCTGTTCTTTAGTCTGTGGTTCTGGTCCGGAGGCCCCTGAAACCCCTGCCGGAGGGCAGGAGAGAAAACAGTCTGTGGACTGGGTGGGATGAGTCCTTCAGAATGCTGTGGGCTCGATGTAGGCAGCGTTATGGTGTGGAAGTATCATATTATATATAATTGGAATATTTCATTTAGCTAAGAAGACATCAATAGATGATGTCTCTGTCAGCACCTCAGGATTCACAGTGATTTAAGTTCAAGCTTTTCGCTCTGTTTATGTTTCCATCATAATTTGTAAAAGAAGCAAAACAAAATATGTTGTCTTGTGTGAAATATTGTGTTTTGGGGTTTTCCTTTGTTTCTACGTGTTAGGATTCCAGTCTGTGTGGTCTGTGTTTCTGTGTGTTTGTCTTCCTTTCTCCACCTGGTTCTGATTTTCCTCCTCACACACCTGCAGAGGGTTACCTCGTTAACGGAGTGTTCTTAAGCTGCTGACTGCCACTACCTCGATGTCAGAGTGTTTGCCAGTTTTGGTTTTTGGGTCTGAGTCAAACTGAGTTTTTGTAAACCTGAGTCTTAACATTGTTTTTTGTCTTTGCCTCTCGGCAGTAAGTCATCTTGCAAACTGGATTTTTCGGACCTTCTCTCCCTGGAAGGATCAACTGAGCTTCAAACTGAGCTGAGGATTCAAACCGGAGGTTTGGATCCACTTTTCCCTGAGGAAACGTTTGAGCTTCACACTGAGCAAGGGATTCATCTGCACAACAGTCTGTTCACGTACCGCAGGAAATCTGAGTGGCAGTCAGTCTTTCTCCGTTCAAAGTTCTCAATAAACCTGTTAAACTTTTTCCCCTGTCTCTCTGGATTGGTTTATCTGCATGTGGGTGCGAGCTCTTGATAAAATCATGACACTATGGCTGCGTCTCAATTCGCAGGCTGCGTACTTCCGAGGACGCAGCCTACCTAGCCTCCGGAGGACCCAGACTTGGTAGGCTGCTCCGGAGGATGCTCAGCCGTTGGTAAATGGGACGGTCTAGCCTTTGGAGCACTTCCTGGTTGCGACACGACGTCATCACGTTTACCCCAAACACAGCGCGAAACAAAATCCGACAGCTCGAGAAATACGGAAAGAAACAACAAAAAAATAGATATGGAAATTTTTATTTTTTTTATTTACTTGTTATTGGAGGAGGAGAGTCGGCTTTGACGGCTTCGGCGGCAGCAAAACCTGCGACGGATTTTTCTCAGGCTGGCAGAGCGCAGTGGAGAGGTGAGATCTACCTGCTATTATTCTAACCCCACAGGGGCCTGCTAATGATCAGAATATACCAGTTATTAAATAAACGCTTGTCAGCAGATTGATGAATATGTTTAAATATCAAGTTTTATATTTATTTGTAAGTTTGTGATTTATTTGTTTAGTAATTTGAATTGAATAGTTAAATGTGTACAAACCCTGTAAATAACTGATTTAAATCACTACTTTCACCATCACTAATGTTGTGTTGAGAAGCCAAACTGTTGAGAAATAAATCATTTTTGTCTAAATTGTTATCCCCTTACTGCCTGATTTTATTTGCAATTTTATATATATATATATATATATAAACATAATACAGGAAAAAAAATCTAAATATAAAAACGAAAAAAATAAGTTAGTGGATCCAGATGAAGTAAAATTTAATTTCTAATAAAGCATGTAATAAAGACAAGGAAAAAAAGATAGATGACTGAATAAAAATAAATATTTTTGTCTTTTTTTTTCTACAGGTCATAACAGCCCCAGAGGATGAAGAGCAGGACGACATGCCAGAGGATGAGGAGGGGGAGAACGTGTAGGAGGCAGTTAGTGGTGCTCACTGGAGGGACCAGCTGTCTGCTGAGGTGTCTGCCCTGGAAAAGCGTCTACCTGACCACCGTTACATTTAGATGGCAAGTAGAATCCCATTTTAGCTGTTCTCATTTCAGGGTTATAAACAGTTTTAGTAAAGTCATTATTTTCTGCGTCTTCTTGAACATTTTTAGTAACATGGCAGCCATCGATTGGGTAAGCAGTGGAGAGAGGCATCCCCCCCACCCCCCAGATGATGTCCCACTCGCAGTCAGAAGACTCCAAGGACATCTGTGTGGTATCCCATCCAGTCCAGCAGCACCACCAGGGACTCCTGCTCAGTCACAATTATATATATATGTTCTCTAATAATATTTACTGTATATCTTCTGTAAATAGTTGTAGTAGTTAATTTTAAAATCTAATGTCAATAGTTAAAAATGTTTAATAGTTTATTGTAAATACTTGCTTCTCTAAAAATAAACTGATGTCACTGAGAAGTTGTTCTAAGTTTACTTAAATTACAAAGTGATGAAACAGATAATGTAAAAAGGTTAAAAGACTTTAAGAACACACCGACAGCAATAACTTTTATAAACAATTTAATAATTCAATTTAACCATAACAGCAACACAGAACTTCAACTTGTTAAAAAAAACACCCAAAAAAATTATAACATCTGTCCACCATCCTCTCCAATAAATGAAATAATCTGTCCATCCTTTCCCGCCTCCCTCTGCCATCTGATATCCTCCCTGATTAAATCCACCATTACTTCTTCTCTTCCTCCTTTCCCTCCTCCCTCATCCTCATTCTCTTCCTCATCGTCACCCTGATGCTGCTCAGCCTCTGCAGCACCTGGCCCTGCTGTGTCCTCAGGGATGGAGGCAATTAGGACAGGTGGGGTAATAGAGGGCCTCTGTCCTAATACCTCCTCCATGAGGACAAACCAGGGCCAGGTGGCAGCAGTAGGATTCCCACTGACCCGCTGCCCTGTCCAATGATCTTTGCATTCCTAAAGTAGAGGAAAACTATTTTTATCAACAGATGCTATTTTCTATAGTGTTTCTTTAAAGCTAGAAAAAAGGAATGTTTCATGATTTGGACAGATTGATGAAATTCTACAGAAAAAGACTTTGGAATGGTAACCTGGAGATTACTTTTTCAAGCTTACTCAAAGTGTAAATTAACATGAATATAATAAATGAAAGATGTAATTTCCCTACACACACATACATATATAGGTGTGTGTGTGTGTTTCATTACATTATCCAAACCTGAACATACTTTGTATTTTTTTTTTTTAAGTTGTCCCACACAAGGATCACTTCTATCACAAATAT